AAGACTAATACAATAAAAGTTTCTTGAAAATACTAAAATAAATAAATAAAGTTCCTGGCATGATTGGCTTTACAAACAAACAAACAAAAGAGTGAAGGCAAAAATAATTCTGAGTACAAATAATAAGACTGAGAGTCTTTATAGGTAAAGACGTATAATAATTATTTTTAAATCATAGGAGAATACTAAGAAACATGCTAACAAATGAGAAAATAGATGAAAACACTTTCTAGAAAATATAACTGACCAAAACTAATTTCAAAAGAATAGAAAACCTGAACATACTTTTAATGAGACAAAATCAGTAGTTAAATATCTACCCACAGAAAACATCAGGCCCTCAGGCTTTCACAGGTGGATTCTTCCAACCTTCAAAACATTTAATTCTCCTATAATATGGCAAAAGGAAAGTTTCCCAATGCATTTGTGAAACTGGAATGCTTTTTATTTCCCTAACAATTTAATGCAATAGCCATTAAATGGGACAGCACAAATTACAAATCCTGGGGTGAGACACACGTGATGGGGGAGACCAAGGGCCCCAGAGTGAGGTGCTGGAGCCCTAGCATTCTGAGGAGGCTGTCTGCACAGCCAGGGAGTCATGTGGGGCATCAGAGCCCCTGTGGTAGTCTAAGGACATCCGCCAGGGAGGATGTCAGGTAGGATAGCAGATCGGGAGTTGAGGGGACTGATCAAATAAGTAAATATGGTAAAGATAATAGGGGCTGTTTCTCACTGTTGGAGAAGACATCTAAAAATACATAGAGGGAGGAAACCAAAATAAACACTGGTGTTCTACTGTAAATGGAAATATTGATATAATCTTAGTCTTTAATATCGTAGATCTACGGCGGACAGGTACCGGTCTGTGGCCAGTTAGGGACCGGGCTGCACAGTTCCGCAGCCCCACCCACATCCATCCTGGAAAAATTGTCTTGCATGAAACTTAGGAATTGCCGCCCCTGGGGCGCACAGCAGGAGCTGAGCAGTGAGCGAGGGAAGCTTCATCTGTATTTAGAGCTACCACTCTCTGTCGCTTGCATCACCACCTGAGACCTGTCTCCGTGAAACCTGTCCACGGTGCCAAAAAGGTTGGGGACCCTGCTCTAAAGAACTCTAGTTCCTTTTTGATGGAGAATGGAATTTAGAAACAACATTTCTAGGTTTGCTTATTCTACTGGAAGTATCATTGTGGCCCCAGGGGTTGGGTACCACAGCTTTAGAGAAATGATCAATTCCAGGTCTGGGCCAGGGAGAGTTCAAGGTAAAGCTGAATGACCTTTTTGTTCCGTAAAGTAAAGAAGTGCTCAAAAAATTATGGGGGCATGTTAAAGACACAAAAGCCAGCTTTAAAGGGCCAAATCAGGGACAATTTGATTATCAAAATATATAATGATAATAAAAGATTATGACTCATGGGTCTTTACTAAGTCTCCAAGTATCTCCATGGAAGTTATTCATTTATTATAAAGGAGAAAAGTTGACAGTGGAGAGATATGGCAAAAAAAACCACTCTTAACCAAAGTGATCAAAGTTATAAAATAACAAGACAAATTAAAATTTTGTGCTACCTGATAGGATCTAAGAAGAATAACAGCAATGCTCTGTGATATTACTGCCAAAGAAGCATAATTCAAATTTCATCATGAAGAAACAGCAGACAAACCCCAGCTGAAAGATGTTTTACAAAAAAAAAAAAACCAAAACAGGCCTGTATTCTCCAAGAGTTAAGATTATGAGGGTCAAGGAAACACTAACTGTCTGCAGCCCAAGAGGGGACGCTAAAGAAACATGATAACTAAATGAACCCAAATAGTTCAGGGAACAAAACTCTTTGCACTGTGCTTTCAACTTTTATGTAAGTTTGAGATTATTTCTAAATAAATAAATTAGGATAACCTCAAAGCCAAATAATGGCAATATAATACAGGAAAATTACAGACTAACCCCGCCTTAGGTCAAAAGATACAAAAATTATAAATTTTGAGCTACACATATGTATTTTTAAAAAATTCATCAATAGAAACATTTGTCCCAGAAATGCAAGAATGGTTAGACATCAGAAAAATCACTGTTATTTATAGCAAACTATACCCCCAAATGCCAAATTTACAGTTAAAAAAATTAACCATATTAGCAGATGAATAAAGAACATATGACAAACTCAATTTTTCTAAACGTCTCTAAGCTAGCTAGAAATAAGAGGAAAGAGGAAAGTTAAATAACTCGATAAAAGGCGTTTATGGAGAAAAAACTAATAACAAACCACAACTGATGGCAAAACTTTAAAAATTATTCCTTTTAAGATAAAGAATAAGGAATCAAACATCGAGGCCTTCTTGTCAATAACATATTGAATTTCCAGCCAATGCAAAAAATACAAAACTAAAACAAAAGGTGTAAGAATTGGAAAAGAAGAAGAAAAACTGGTATTATGATGCTATAGAATTATAATAGTATATGGTATTGGCAAATGGATAGCAAATAAACCGATTCAGTCCTAGCCATGTATTTATATATGAGACACTGCTATATAACAGAGAGGGTATTATAAATCAGTTGGGAAAGAATAAACTATGAAAAAATTGGTGCTAGGCTATCCATATAGGAAAAATAACATCACATCATGCACAAAAACAGATCAAAATCATAAATATGAAGATCAAAACTTTGAACACAGAAAAAAATTGGAAAATATCTTAACAGTACTAGAATTAGAATTTTTTAAAGCACTGTACAAAAAACACAGCCCTTAAAACACTGATGATTGTGAGATATTGAAATCAAGTCATCTGAATGAACAAAAGTAAGTGAAAATGTGGAAAATGAAAATATGGAGGAAAGTATTTGCACTAGATTACCATATACAGTAGATTAATATGCAGAACATATAAAGAATGGAAAAGGTCTAACAGATATGAAGCCTGATGTTAAAAAGTAAGGGAGTGGGAGCAAAAGACAGGAAAATACTTAACATCACAACTAGTAACCAAAAGGTGCAAGTTAACATCATAATAAATTATTACCACCTACCCACCAGAATGGCTGAAAAATGTGAGCACCAATATGCACAACTTTTTTTCAGTAGTTGGTTTGCTCTATTATTCAAGTTTCTGATTTTTTTTCTTTAAATTAAATTTGATGTTTCCACTTTGATTTTTTTAATGCAAAAGAAAAAAATAAGATACTAAAAAGGCCAAGTGTCCACAAGGGGTGGTGATGGGAGAATTAGCCAAAAAAAAGCAACCAAACAGAAAACCAAACTACATTAAATGTTGGGGGAAGTGTAACGACACAAGCTCAAGAGCAATTTGGCAGGAGCCCCTGATTGCTCTGTTTGTTTCTGGCTGGAGGAACTCTCACACATGTGCCTAAGGAAGCACTGTACACTGCCTGCAAATAGGAAAGAATTGGAAAGAACTCAACTGTCTAGCCATTGGGTGTTAGGATGGAAAGCCTGGTAGATGCTGACAGCATAGGAGGAGAAAGATTTCTCACACTGAGATTAACACATATCAAAGTAAAAAAAGTTTATTTTATCCTTTAGAAGCACAGAGAGAATGAGAGAGAGAAAGGGGCAGGGGAAGAGAGCAGGGAGACAGCATGGGCGCCCAAAGAAAGAGAAGAGAGATGCCAGTAGCAAGGCCACATGGGGACAAAGAGAAAAATATTAATCTTGTGGCGTAATTAGCAGGTAGCTGTGAGATCTTTGTTTCTTCTATTGCTGGAGACTTGGTTATCTCTAAGATGTAGTCAGGCTTATCACAGGGAATGCTGATTGTGCCCCTGAAATATAGCTTTGGGCAGGAAAGGGAAGGCCTGGAGTTTACCCCTCAGCTGTTAGTCCAGGAGCTTCTCAGGAGCTCCTTGAAGCTATAGAAACAGATTCCAAAAACTTAGAGCTGGTGAATGTAAAGAGAAATATTTACATTTCCTTTGTGACCACAGAGTTCCCGCAGGGTGCCTGCTAGCTAGGGAGAGAAACGCAAAAGAGCAAGGAGGGCTCAAGATTGACCTTGGGCTGTTGTTAGAAGATTGTAGGATTGGATATTTTCCTGTTATTTCAACAATTTCCCATCATTAGGAAATAGTTAAACTAAGGCCCATGGAAGCACAATCAAAATGAATAAATCACATTTGCATGTATCTACATGGCTAAATCTGAAAAACATAATGGTGATTGAAAACAGCAAGTTGCAAAAGGATACCATATAATCCCACCTATATCAATAGTGAGACAAGTGTAGGAGGATGTTTGCCTCAGCTATAGCTGGCAATGGGTGCTGGGTAATAGTTTTCACCAAACGGGTAAAAATTCACGTATTAGAGCACAAAAGGAGAGAGCAGTCAGTGAGGTAACGGGACCAGTAGGTAGGAGATAACATACACATGGAAATAAAATGCAGCCCATGAAAATAATGCTTTTAAGCCATTTCTCTAAGGCCAACTATAGTCCACTGAGGAAATAAATGCAAATTCCATATCTGTGGCCTCAGGGCCACATGTGGCCTTCTGGATCCTTGCCTTTTGACTGAATCCAAATTTTACAGAACAAATCCTTTTAGGAAAGGGATTTGTTCTGTGAAGTTTGGTTTGGTCCAGCGACTGCACTTGGGATTTGGAAAGCCACATGTGGCCTTGAGGCCACAGGTTCTCCACCCTTTTACTTACTGAATAAAATATGTGTTGAACCTCTACAAACAGCATTTGCTACATGTCATGCAGGACTACACAAGACTATGAACGCTTTTCTTCTGGCTCATTTAATCCATAAAACAACTATGATATAGTTACTATTTTCCCCATTTTACAAATAAAGTAATTGAGATTCAGAGAGCTTAAAACCTACCCCTAAATCACCATGCTGACAAGTTCACATGAGCCATATTCAAATTCAGTTTGTCTGGCAACCTCAAAACCCATACTCTTTTCACTATGTTACAATGCTCTCTCAAAGCTCTTCTATCTAACTTTCCTACTCTTAGGTGGGCTGAACTCACCATATACCACATTTTCTCATAAAACTACACAATGGAGTCAAACTAGAAGAATATAGTCATAACTTATGAACCAGTAATTGTTCTTCTAGGAATGATTTACAACAAGAAAATTAAATTTAAAAAAAGTAGCATCTCCAGACAAAGGAGAATAAAACACAAACTTAAAAAAATTTTAAGGAACAAAGTTAACAACTGAAATCCTCCACACCAAGGACTATGCCAAGAACTTCACATAAACTGCCATATCCAATTATCATACTGGCATACAAAATATAGGCACCATCAGCCCACTTTACAGGTCAGGAAATGTCTGTATACAAGCTAAGGGACCTACCTAAATTCCTATACAAGTTATAGTGGAGCTAGGATCTGAACCCAGGCAGTTTGATTTCCAGACATATATATATTTCCGTCCACTTGATTGGAAGGAATCCTCTTGTGTGTTTTATGTATAGATAGGCACACACACACACAGGTAAAACAACTTTTACAAAACATTTACATGAATAATCTGTGGGAAAACTTTTTTTAAAGAGGCTGCTTTTAAGTCATGAAATTTTCTCATAAAGCACAATTTAAAACATAATGCTTAACTGCTTCAAAAATATGGTATTTATGACAATTATAGTAGTAAAAAGAAAAAAATGAAAAAACTAATTGGAACTAAGTGGTCAGCAACAGAGCTGAATAATTATGAATATTAAAAATTGTTATTTGGAGAAAATACATTACGTTAATTACTTGGAACCATGCATAATGCTTACACAGGAAATATAGAAAAATAAAATAGTTAAGGTAATAAAGATATAGACAATTACATTTTTATTCTTAATTTTATGAAGACTTTTATTTTTCTTTACAAACTAGGGTAGTTAAGAAACCAGGTAGTAGCTACTCTGCTTTTATATTCTTGGCACCAAAACATTTACTTATGTGTTCCTTCTTACATAAACGGTTCCAGATCACAGTAGTTTTCCAATTCATTTACTAAGCTAGCAAATTTTTATACCGCAAAAAAGTAAAAATAAATGCTTCTCTGTCTGTAAATGAAAACTTGGAACCGAATAACAATACAATATTAAAAGAACAAAGCTTTGCACACACATCTTAAAGCTACACACATTTAAGCCCTAGACAAATATGCTCCCTAGGTCCCCCTTCCCATATACGTAGAGCATTGTGCTTTTGGGTCTCAGACCCTTGTCCCAGGAGTTCCTCTGAATCCTTTTCAGATCTCAAGAGGATGGGGCTGGGCCACTAGCCTCAGGTCTGGCCCGCTTCTCCTCATCTGCCAAAGCCTCACAGTACTGCGCCGGCCAGTCCTTGGGGTCTTGATTATGGACTTTGGCCACGAATTTAAGAACTTTCATTTTGCTCGTTTCCAGGTTGGTTCGGGGGCCCCACTGGAATTCGTAGTCTACAGGATCAGTGTGGGGTATCCGCCGGTACTCCAGATAACGCTGTCGCACAAAGTCTTCAGTAATGAGTTTCTTTGGGTCCCCAAATACTAAATGCTTCTTGGTGGGGTACACCCCTAACCGCCGCAGAAAGTCCCAGACTTCAGTCTCTTTGATGGTGTTGCCCTTCATAAAGATGAGCCCTAAAACAATCATCAGAAGGCCAGTGGTGGGCGTACCTTGATCACCTCTCACCTCGGCATCCTCCTCCACGGGTTCCAGGGTGTTGATCAGGATGTAGGTGTTGCTCTTGGGTTCAAGCTCCACCAGCTTGTACCCAAAGACGTACTGGAGGCGCTCGGAAGCCAGTTTGAGAAGGTCCAGGAAGATGTCCTTGTAGTCTCCAATGACGTGCTTCAGTATGTCGGTCCGCTTGATCGGAATCTTCTTCTGGTCCTTAATCAGCAAGAACTGCACCAGCTCGGCCACCTTCAGCTCCAGCTGCTTCTGGGTCCTGGGCCCCACTGTGGGGGCGGCCCGGGCCTGGCGGGCGCCCTGAGGCGAGGTGCCCATGGCCTCCTGCGAGCCGCCCGGCCCGCGGGACGTGCTCGGGGCCTCGTCGGCGACGCCGCCTCTGGAAGCTCGGGTGTCTCCGTCGCAGCTCCTGTCTCTGCCCCTCTCGTCCTGGGCGCTAGAGCGGCCCCGGCTCCTCGGTTTTTGCAACATGTCACCGGACGCAGGTACCGGCGCGGGCGCTCGCCGTAACGGCGCGGCAGCGGCTGGGATTGCGAGTCGCCGCGAGCTACGTCTGCGCGGCCCTGGGCGGGGCTGCAGGGGGCGCGCGGTGCGACGCCAGAGACTGCGCGTTGCGTCACAAAGGCCGCGCGATGCGTCACAAAAGCTGCGCGATGCGTAAAGGGGGCTGCGAGTTGCGCCTGCGCGGCAGCCATGCATATGGAAACGGAGATTTCTGTGCAGTCCTACGGGTCCGAGCAACGGCTTTTAAATTATAATTGTGTTCATACCAAACCATACCAAACAGAGAACAAGAACCAAGACTCCTAAACAAGTGTGCGGCTAAATTCAGGACCACACAGGCAAGTTTTACCGACAGTATTAAGAGTTCTTAAATAGAGTCTATTGGTAAATGGAGGGACCTCAAAGGCTGAATGTGTGAGAAAAATAAGGTGAAGAGGAAGGTGAGACCGTGGAAGGTAAAGCAAAAACATTAATTTCTACATAAAACACAGAAGGACATAAAAGACCCAGAGGATTCTTCGTTTCGTCCCTCCCCTCGCGCAAGTTCATATCCTCCTAACTACTGGTTAGGTTCTCCAAAGTCCCTTGGAGCCTGTTAAAAACGAATGTTTTGATAAAGGCAGGCTTTCCTTGCAATCAAGACTTATTCCTTCTCAGTATTTCCGAATTTATATTCCCTGCGTTAAACTCCATGAGCTAGACAACTACGAACAAACCATCACTCAAAGCAAGTGTCTAAAATGTTTTAGCTTTATCAAATGAGTTGATCTTTTGGAAAACATGCTCATGGAAACTGCCTTGTGCTCACAACCGCAGTTTTAGCACAAATGGGTAAGAGGAATGCTACAAAGAAATGTGCTCTCTCAGGAGACTACCATTTAATTTTGGGCATCACTGATCAAGAATTGCAATAATGTGGATCTCTTAAATTTCTTAATTCTTAATAGATTAGCTTTAGGGCTCAATAAGAAAGAAAGAACACAGGGGTATTATCCCTCATAATCTGTGATGTGTGCAGTGTGTATATATATTTTAATTGTGCAACTCTAATAGCCAAAATGAATCATTTCATTAACTCAAACCATCAGCAATCTGCTGCCATTACGTCTACAAATCTTAGCAAATGTGTTTCTTCACTATTTATTGATTTGCATAGAAGACACTGAATTTCCCTCTTTTTAAAGCTACACAGCAAGTGGATAAACTCTTCAAAGAACCAAATCAAAGTGAGTTCCTCTTTAATGCAAATATATTCAAAGGAAAGCCGTTCAGAACACATTATTTGAAAGCATCAAACACAACCTTATTAAAATTTCCTTAAATGTTAGTAGCATAACATTTTTGTTTGTAATTCAGTATAAAAATGCAATCTGATAATGGCACTGGAACTGTAATACTAAGTGTAAAATCAGATTCCATGTTGTGATGCTAGTATGCAAAAATCTGGTATGCTATGAGTAATAACTTTCTGTTCCACAGAAGATCCAATTATATCCTCAAGCATCATTCTTAATGACAGAGGACTACTAAGAAAAACAAATATATTATCAAGGCATTCATGAGAAAATTCATCTGCTTTGGTTTCCTTGCATATTAAAATTTGGACGTAAGTTCAGAGAAGCCTCCTGCAATCTAGAATCTGCAAAAGGTCCCTCCAGAAGGATCAGTTATACCTTGACCTAAAAAACTTAAGCAACCAAGAGATAAGGGAAAAATGGAAAATAAGGTGAAAGCTGTTGTCAACAATTGGGCTGGTTTTTCAATGTTTTTTTCTTGCTAAGGTATACAAAGTTACCAAGCAGCCCCACTAGTCAGGCTATCCCAGTACCTGTATGAAAATCAGCACCCTTACCCAGATAGCAGATTGTCATTACTCAAAATAGATGAGAAAAAATACCAGTTTTAAGTCTCGGAACACCTCTCTACACTCTGTCCAGAGGAATGCAGGCGAAATTGACACTGGAAGCCTTGGATGTCTGGAGAGAAACTGTGATAACAACACTACCACTAATAACAATAACTATAAACAACAGCAGCTAATGATTATCTGGTAGTCCTCCCCTTATCTGCGGTTTTGCTTTCCATGGTATCAGTTACCTGCCACACTGAAAAAATACTAAGGTATTTTGAGAGTGAGACCGCACTCACCTAATTTTTATTACAGCATATTGTTATAATTGTTCAATTTTATTAGTTGTTGTTAATCTCTTCTGTGCCTAATTTATAAATTAATCTTCATCACAGGTATGTATGTACAGGAAAAAACAGTATATATAGGGTTTGGTACCATCCACAGTTTCAGGCATTCATTGAGGGTCTTGGAACATATTCCCTGCAAATAATGGGGGACTACTGTATAAAGGTAACTGTGGGTCAGACCTTATTCCAAGTGGTTTACAGGTATTACTTCATTTAATCCCCACAACAAGCCTATGAGGCATATCAATTTTTTATGTTTCTCTTCTCAAAAATGAAGAAACAGGCACAGAGATCATTAAATGTTTTGAGATCCCACAGCAAGTTAAGTGGTAGATCTGTGATCTAAACTCGGGCAATTTGCTTCCAGAGACCGTGCTCTTAACTGTATGCTAGCTAAGAGCAAAACACAGACATGGTGTCCTTGAAAAAGTAAGGGCTTTGGAATCAGAGGGACTGAGATTAGAAACCTGTATGACACTGGGAAAGCTACTGACATTCCCAAGTTTCAGTTTCCAAGTCAACAAAATGAGAGTTCTAATCCTGGCTTCAAGGGATTAAGTGAGATTGGTTTGCCAAGTACCTAGCACAGAGCCTGGCAGGCCAGCTGGTAACAATTTGCTTCTTTCCAGAGGGTTTCTGTTAACGAAAATATTTGAGAACTGTGCAGAGTTGTGTGTAGTATAGGGGAGGCAAAATTTTACCCTCCAAGGGTCCTGGCTGGACCTGAGAATTAAATTGACATAAAATAGATTAACAGGAGGAAAGCATACAAATTTAAGTTCTGTGTGACATAGGAACCCTCAACGGGAAATGAAGGCCCAAAGATGTGGCAAAACCTACATGCTTTTGTATTTCCTTGAATGAAGAGAGGTAATTACGGGAAAAGAAACTAAATTATGTGGGGACGCTAGAGGAAGATTATTTTTACTATGTTGTTTGTATAGAATTTTCTTGGCTATGACTCTCCATCGAGTAATATTTCTTTTCTCCTGGTACATTGAAGACATCTTTCTTTCAATGGGAGTTTTTATCTCCTGTTTTTTAGAAAGAAAAGAGGAAATTAGAATTCCCTTATTGCATCTGCAATTTTTCAACTGTCTTTAGCTCAAATTAATCCATATGCCAAAGTGGCATATTTTGGGCAGCATATTCTGCCATCTTTCAGTAGAATGATGAGAAAAATTTTGACTGCAGTGAAACACACGTACACATAAAAATCAGGAAAAGGTCTGGAAAGAAATAACAATATCAATGTGCTATTAAAGTTCTTTCTTTCTTCTTTTTAGAGACAGGGTCTCTATCCCCCAGGCTGGAGTGCAGTGGCATGATCATAGCTCACTGTAACCTCAAACTTCTGGCCTCAGTCAATCCTCCCACCTCAGCGTCTCAAAATGCTAGGATTACAGGCATGAGCCACTGTGCTCAGCCAGTTATTTTATTTTATAAATAAAATTCAATTCTTATTTTCTTGCTTGAGAGATAAAAATGTATTCTCAATGAAGTTTAACTTCACAGTGACACCATGCCATTGCAGTTACACACTATCAAATGTTCAGTAAATTCAGTGTGATCTGAATATGGCATTTGTGACTTTCTGTTCAGGCAGTGATATAACAAAGACAATGATTAAAAAAGAAAAACATTTTCAAACACTTTATGTTGAAGACCTTCATGCTTTTTATTACTATGCCCAAGAGGGGACAAATTCTTTGAGGCAAAAACTAAACTAAGATTTCAAGTGCATTGAACAAGGAAATGCCTACTACCCTTTGCTCTTTAGATGTCTGTAAGTAATTAAATGCTTTATTTCATCTCCTTAGTAGCAAAATGCCTGCCAAGAAACACTAATCATTTTTATTATCTACTAGATTCTCTTCATTCACTGGTATTTCTTGTAAAACCAGAAAAAGCCTTTAATATTCTGACAGCAACACAGTCCTGAAAGCAGGTGAGGACTTTTTGGGAAGAAAGGCTATGGTCAAAGCATGCAGCCACCAAATATGAGCAGTGGAAGAAAGTGGAACAGCGTGCAGCACGTTAGCAGGGGAGTTTGGGGGCACATACTATTTTGGTGGGCAGATAGCAGGAAAGCAATCCAGATGTTTTAATGGTTGCAGTAAAACCTCTAGTGTCCACTCATTTGTAACAGTTGTATACACTCATTCTTAGCAAAAATCCTTCCTGCTTAGATCACATGGTAGGCTTCCTGATAACATTTTGTCCATTATAAATGAATACTTAGATTAAGCAGCAACAGAGCTTTCCTTGGTGGGTGGAAGCAGGTGAAGAAGTGGGCCTTGATAAGATAGTGCTTTCCAAGAATTGCTGCCATTTGTCCCAGAAGCCTCTTTTTAGACTCTCTTTTCAAGAAATATAAATCTTCCAGTTACCCAGGGCCCTTATAAAAATCATTAAGCTCTATTAAGTTGTAAAATTATAAACATACAAGGTCTTGATAGTGGCCAATAAGATTCTTTTTGTTTGCTTGGTTTCTTCCCCCATGTTCTGCAACCTTTCCCTTTAGGAACTGTCTCTTCCCATCTCCAGGAGACCTGGGTTAGGGCTCTGCCTTCCTTTCCTGAGTGTGCATGATTCAGGCCAGATACAGTGACCGGTTCAGAAGTCCAATCAGTATCCTTTCAAGGAATTCATACAGGTTCTCTTTCCTTCCTCTGAGCTAACAAGCTGAGGGGGTGATGTAAGCCTAGCCATCTTTCCCATTGTTTGGGAATAACCTGCCTCATGGTGAACCCAACTCAAAAGAGATCTAAGAGATGAAAAACCAATCCTAATGCTGCCCTTTGAATCCTGAATCCTGAGTTTAAGGCTGGACTCCTGGAG